AGGTGGGGCTGAGAGAGCTCTTTCGAGAACTGCCCTTTCAAGGACAGCTCTTGTCAGAACTATGACTTGCCCAAGGTCATCCAGCCAGCTGCAAGTGGAGGAGTGGGGAATCAAACCCAGTTCTCCCAGATTAGAGTCTGCACACTTAGCCACCACACCAAACTGGCTGGCATGCTCTACTGACTGAACTAGCCAGGCTGCTTCTTGCTTGGAGAAGGGGTAAGTGTATAACACTAGGTTTCAAAACTCTCAGAATGACCCTCCTGTGCCTTGTGGTCCTGTTCTCCGAAGTCAAGAGAGTCAGAGCACAAGAACCTTCCTATGGCACCTCCCCTGGCCCCACGCACCAATATTATCCATGCAAATACTGTAATCCCCAGCATAAAGGTCATCCAGCAGCTGCAAGTGGAGGAGTGGGGAATCAAACCAGGTTCTCCCAGATTAGAGTCCACACACTTAACCACTACACCAAACTGGCTGGCATGCTCTACTGACCGAACTAGCCAGGCTGCTTCTTGCTTGGAGAAGGGGTAAGTGTATAACGCTCGGTTTCAAAACCCTCAGAATGCCCCTGCTGTGCCTTGTGTTCCTGTTCTCCGAAGTCAAGAGGGTCAGGGCACAAGAACCTCCCTTGGGGGGGGGGGGGGGGTAGGAGAGCCAGAGGTAATTTTCTAGATGGTTCTCCTAGAAACATGTTCTGAATGGATGCCATCCTCACCTGATATTGCTGGGCCAAAAACTATCATTCGCCTAAGGCCCTGAAGGAAAGAGACTGTAGCTCAGATTTTGATGAACTAGAGTCCTGATGACACGCAATTGCTAGGAATGTAGAGAATGCGCTTTGGCCTTTGACTCTGGGATTTACGGTTTGTGCCACCTAATGCAAGTTCTGAAGTGTGTTAGGGAGTGGAGCTCGCTTCCTTGCTGTTGTTTTTTGCTGCGATCACAGAGTAATACGTTGCCTGTAGTACAATTCTTTACTTGACAGTAATTTAATAAACTTTATGAAACATTTTTTAAAATAAATGTCAATCTAGTTATTTGTGCCCATCTGTCCTGGGGACCCACGGGGTTCAGCCTTGGACTCCTTGACAGATCCCACCCAGAGGGGGTTCAAGTCAGAAGGGACCCCTATGCAATACAGCACTGACCCTTTGGATACCTGCTTAGCCTGAATGGACTAGAGGCCTGAACTATGACACGCAATTGCTAGTAATGTAGAGAATGCCTGAGCTTCCGCCTTTGACTCTGGGATTTATGGTTTGTGCCACCTAATGCAAGTTCTGAAAAGTGTTAGGCAGTGGGGCTAGCTTCCTTGCTGTTGTTT